ATAATCTGAGTAAGTAAAATATCTGCGGAAGTTATGTAGCACATATATTTTTTATGGTATAAATAAATTATTAATTTTTAACACGTTGAATAATTTCGAGTGAACAAATGGACACTTTCAGAAATTGTTAAAAAATATTTTAGAAAGTAGAGAGAATAATTTATTGCCTTCTTATACTTATTCTAGTGAACAATCGTGTAGATAGTTGGCATACATTATTTGTTTATTTGGAGTGGTCATGAACTTACGGAAAAAGATGATTCTCTACGAGAAAACTAAATAGATCACAATCTAATTTCCCTTTTAATGGAAAACTTTTTTTTTTTTTTTTTTTTTTTTCAACCTCTTACATAGACTTTCTATTGTTCAATCTTTTCCCTTATTCAATTTTACAGCACTTGATTTAATCGGATGTTAGTATATTGCCAACGTCTTCTCGCACTTTGATTATTTATTTTTAATTTTGTGTAATATAAAATAAGCTTTATTTATTTTTATGGTAATTTATGATTGGCAATCAATTTACTAAGTGCACAATTAGAATTTAAACATTATTGAAGGGACTTGATATGAATCCAGATTTAATGGTTAAAATAGTACTGTAATTAAATATTTGGTAGACTCTTCTAGTTGGCTCTTGATGCCTGAAAGTGGAACACAGACATTCTCAATTACTTAAATTTTATTCGTAATAAAAACGATTTTGCAATAAAATTATATTTTATGAAGAAATTATTTGAACTAAAGTCATTCGGAAATCTATCGTTATTAAAACTTGATACGTATATTGGTAGTCTAATAATTAATATAAAGCAATAATAAAAATTGATAATGATGGTAAAATATCTTATTTCTTAAAGCACTTGAACTATTGATTTTCATATTCAATTTTTCACGCCTTACGAGCTACGTTAAGGACTACCGAAACGCTACGGGAAAATAATTCGTAGCGGTTTTTCGTAACGCGTTTGCTAGGTCATAAGGTGAAATTAAAAATAGAAAGTGGAATTATAAGTGCAAAAGCTATCTGTATGCATAAAATTGTATAAAAAAAATTTCATATTATCAATTACAAATTCGAATTAACAAAATAATAATCAATCATATTAATTAAAAAATCGTTTTCATTTTAATTCTTATCACCGCAACAGGAATGGACAAAGATAAAACAAATTGCTCTTTTCTTACTTCTTAAAAAGAGAATAAATATGCAATGATGAATGATAACGAATTATTCGAATGATTAAAACAAATTAGCAAACGACAAAGTATTTATCTTTATACGTATGGCCATAGATGCTGAATTTTAATAAATAAATATAATTTTCTTTTATATCCTAGGGTATGTATATATTGAATAATATACAATACTATGACTCTTATAAAGAAAAATAACCTTAGCTCTTCTCGATCTCTCATAAAAAACTAAAATTTCATCTCATGAACTGAAAATGCAAACTTTTACCTTATTTAATTTTGTGTACGATTACTTTAATCTGATTTGAATGCAAAATTTTAACGTCATTATTTTTCACACAAAATAGAAATAATTTGAATTTTTCTTCCTCACAATTATTTGCATGTTAACTATTAGTTGATTATGATTATATATACATTCTTCAAACATATTCGTCGAAAATGTAGAAAAATTCGTCGAATTATTTCAGCTTTAGTGTTGAAAAAGATACTTAGGAAACCTTCAACATTCATTAAAGTTCTCTTTGATTTTCGTACAAATTAAATTACAAATGAAGTATGAAAAAACATATTGACTTATTATTCTCCGTAAATATGTTATTGATTTAAATTCTTTAAAATTATAATTGGTGCAAAAAATCTTTGAGAATTAATTTATATATTAACCATGAAATCTATCATAAGAATAAGATGATGAAATCCACAGTGAAGTCGTAATTTATGTTAAAATGATTCTTTAAATTCAAAAATCAAACAATATATGCATCATTGTGACAAATTTATTATATTATTATATACAAATTACAGATATGGAAAATGAGTTTTCTTTCTTAATATGTTAATTTTCTAATTAATCGCTTTCTATATTTAATTCATTTGCAATACTAAATTATACTAAAGTAAAAAATAAAAAAAAAAATATGTAAATCTACGTTGCCTTAAAAATAATTTATATATTTATAAATTCTTACTGTAATCTTTTAATAATTTTAATGATCAGTTAATAAATTAACATAATAATCTTCGCATCTCCATAATACAATTGTTCAATTAAAACAATTAACAATTATAGTCACAACGACAAAGTATTTGTCATGTTCATTGAGTTGTTTGATTGTTCTTATTATTGTTACAATCATTGAGAATCACACTTTTGCCTAGTTAAATAATTAGAAAAATATGCTAAGATAAATAAGGAAGCTTGTTGAAAAGTTATTTGCAGAAGTTATAGTATTTTAAGCACTAACGTGTTGTCAGGATTATTTAGAAGTGTAAATGGAATCATTTGATATAAATATTCTCGCCCTTTAGTACGCAATTTTATTACCACTATATGAGTTCTATATATGATTAAGGTTAAATAACTTTTGCTTACATCATTACCTGTTACATATATAACAAAGAAAGTGGCATAAATATGAAATACAAAATTTTATTTAATTAAGTAAGTAGTAAATGAAGGAATGAAATTTGACATTAACACTTACACATCATTCGTCGACAATAAATTTCAGTAATAAATATGCATCATTAATTGTGCCAAATATAAATTAATTAATTGTTTATAAAGGATGACAATGCCCCACGATGATTTTTACATGTATCTATTAAAATATTCATGAACCTCCCACCTGTCTCTTACCAATCTATTACTTGGCTTTTCTTTTAAGTTCCATATAATTTTATGCACATATACAATAAATTAAAAAAAAAAAACAAAATTATATCTTACGTTTGTATATAATAATGACATCACAGATATTGCGACTCCAAATATAATTATAACACAATGGTATATATTACCTAATTATTAAAAATTGGATTAAAAAGATCTATTGTAACTAATGGTGAGAAAGTAAGTTGAAATGTTAATTTATTATTAGAATGAAGAAGTACATTCGAAATAATACAAGTTTACTCTAAAAAAAGCACAATATCATTCTCATGAATTTTTTTATACCCTTTTTTTATTTTTTATAGCCTTTTTCTAAAGAAATAATGCGCATCTTACACGCGTAATTTTAATTGTTTTAACTACTCCTATTTCTAGGACAACAATACTTTTAAAGCTATAATATATAGTCGTGTAATAATTTTTTTACTATATATATCTGATACATTTGACAGTTTATATTTTATATTGTAAAATAGAATATAATTTAAATTTATAGAATCATTAACTGAATTCTATGTAATATGCAACAAGTATGCGAGAAATTTTATACAATCGATTATGTAAATTGCCTTGTTGTTTGTAAAGGATTTTACTTCATGTTCATAAAATAAATATTAAATTTAAATAACAATTATCAAGCAACATGAATAAAATCGTAAGTAAATTTTATTGTACTCTTCGTAATTGTCAATCGAAGAAAAGAAAATAATTTCAAGATCGAATACCGTCTTATGAGCAATAAGTTTTGCCTTTCATTATCTATTTGACGCATTTAAATTTATGCCAATCTATACAAAAATTAATTAAACATTTATTAAACACTGCATTCTCACATATAATTTATAGAAGTTATGATTTACATTTCTAACAAAGAGTGTGAGATGTTTAATTGAAAGTAGAGCAGAGCTTAAAAATAAATATTTTATACTTAAACATTAATTTTAAGCATTTAAATATTAATCTTTTTCAAAATTGGTTTACAATTATTACCTGATCCTCTTCAGCGACAGGTAAATGTAAAAACAAATTTATTAATAGATATATCTTTAAGAAGTAAGCATTTATCCCTTCAAACAAAAGATAATTAACTAATAGCTCAATAATATTTTGAATACAGCAATATTGGAATCGTTAGAATTATCGTATTGAAAATGTACGATTTAGAAAAATGCATTGAAACGAAGATACAAATAATTCACGAGGTTAGAATTATTTATGGGAGAAAAAAAAATTGTCATTTACATGTATGTAAAACTGAAATTTTAAACGCATTTTTTTAAATTTTAAATGTTTTTTCACTTAAAAATTTTAGTGTGTATATAGAGTTATCTATTAGTATTCACATGTTATATTTGTATACCTTGTTTTATAACATTTATAAAAAATTTATAATTCTATAATGATTCTGTAAATAAATTACATATTTTTTTTTTAATTCAAAATATATGCTAAGACAAATTTTTACTTTAAATATTCGGCAAAATAAAAGAAAAATCTTTAGTCCATGTGTACCTAAGCTTAAATAAATTGCTTATGTATTTTAGTTAAAGCACATTAAAATCAGTGACGAAAGACAATAGTTAAAAAGAATTCTGTTTTACAAACTTTTAAATAACCAAACTGATGAAACTGAAATAAAAAGTAAATTTATCTACTTGCATTTGTTAACGGCATTGTTTTTGACGATTTGTTAAGAAATAATAAAATAAATCTACAAGTTAAACAGATTGTTTAATAAAATTGTAAAATTATCGATTTACTTGTTATAAATATGTAGTTGAGTAAGTATTATTGAGCAGCTTTTGTTTATTACACTAGTTGGATGAATTACATTTGATAATAATCAAAACTAAATGAACAATTTAAAAACTCGTTGGTATATAAAAGCCCTTTTGTGCATCAATTTCGCCGAGAATAATAGTATGGTATGGTATAGAGAGAGAGAGAGAGAGAGAGAGAGAGAGAGAGAGAGAGAGAGAGAGAGACACAAAGAGTTACTATAGTTGTTAATATCGAATTGCAGATACAAAGTTGGTTCTCAAAACTCCTGTAAATTAATCGTGTGTCGTAATTAAATTAATTGATAAATGATAAAGATAAATGTGTCGTTCGTTTGTTCATTTTACAGAGGCCTGACAAAGATCGAAAAATATGTCTGCGAAGGCGATTCGTGAGGCAACAGGCAAAGAGCTGTTAAACCGCAAACTTGTCGCCGACGCAGCCAAGTGCCTCTTCGTCACCATCACCGAATCAACCAATTGGACACAAGTTGTCGATGAGAATCCCTGGCTCACTAAGACGCAGCTGGTCGTCAAGCCCGATCAGCTGATTAAGCGCAGGGCAAAGCTCGGCCTGATAAAGGTAAACGTCGACCTGGACGAGTGCAAGCAATGGATTGCCGAGCGCATGAACAAGGAGAAGCATATCGGCAAGACCTACGGGAAGCTCAAGACCTTCATCATCGAACCCTTCATACACCATACACCCGTTAGTCACATTCTTATGTTATTCCTATCAATTACTATTATACCATAATTTTCAATTCTTATCACTTTTATTACGCAATGAACAAATTAAAATGGCCCGACACTTGTGCCATCCAACCGAGCCAATAGCCAGTTTTAATGGTAAAATATGCATTCTAAATGTCGTATCAATAATTCATACAATTATATAATGTCTAGTAATATAGCTTGATATTATTATCTACCAAATGATACAAGTAAAAACGTCTTTTACATGTAATTAAACATGAATTACGATATCTACTTAAAAAAAAAAAAAAAAGTATTGCAGCACTTATTAAGCATTAATTGTAGTATTGCGAAAAAAATTATTTTTATTTCAAAGCATTATATTAATTGGGTATTATTAAAGATCGTTAATGATAATGAGAGTTAATATTTACTCGTATTTGTTGAAATACAATGCTTTTATATGTCGTTGTTATCTATAAAGACTGTATAATGAGAACGCTAATATACATCGCAGTCTCGATAATACAAAAATCTTGCCAACTTTCAATCGGGATCATACGCAACACACAAAGTACTGAAATTGTTTCAAGAAATGCACTATCCTATCAATTCAAGCCTCAACTAGCACCTAACTTATAAATAATTATAATTTAAATTCCAGAATAAGTGTGTGTGTGTGTGTGTTTTTTTTTTTTTTTTTTTTTTTTTTTTTTTTTTTTTTTTTTTCTGCAAAAGCTAAAACATTAATAATAATGTTAATTCATTCATGGATGTTACGTATAAAATTTTATTTATTCTAATATTATAGTTGTGTCAAATTTTGTTAGAGCCTCGAAAAATTTTTTATTCTCATTTTCGAGAACATAATTGGATTTATTGAAGACAATTGGTAATATAATGGTATACTTGAATACAACGGTAGTAGATGATTATGATGAATTGTAAAGTAGTAAATGGATATTGAAACTTTTAATGCATTTATACTTTAGAAAGATTAATTAAATCGTCGTACTTTTATATTATTTAGAATGAAATTTTTTATTAAAAAAAAAAAAAAGACTTATTATTAGTTTAAACGAATTTAATATATTTTTGCGTAGTTCGTATTAATGTTTGAAAATTAACATTTTTATTTTTTATTCCTAAAAATCAGACGTCATTGTACAATATTATTCATATATTAGTATAAGTCAGTGAATGAATTATTTTTCATAATAGTTATCAGATTAATTACACTAATGATATTCTTGAATACAAGTACTTCGTATAAAGCATCTCTAATACTTTAACTTTGTTAATCTTCGTCAATCAAACGATATTATTCGTATATTAAAAACACATTACGTGCTGAAAGACTTGTATAATATTGCATAATATTATGATATTACGCGAGAGTTTGTAATGCTTAAGCGATTCGTTTAAAATTATTAAAAAATGATTTTATTAAAAAAAAAAGAACAATAATAATAGAATCAAGAAGTGAACGATGCGTGATTAAATGTATTTTAGCCTAATATAAGTAAGTCGTATCGCGAGTAGTCATGAAAATTTTATTCTAAATTTACGAATGATTGCTGCTTATCATAATTTTGAAATAACAACTCAACTATAGCTATAACAAGGCAGATGAAAGACCTCTGAAATATAGAAATATTTGATAATTAATATAAGTAAAAGGCGAATTTCAATACATGTTTTTAACATCAATTACTTATTACGACATTTTAAATTAAACGAAATATAAGAAAAAAATTAATAGTGCTTAAGGATAAATAAGGCAATTAACAAAATATTCACGTTTAAGATTTAATGCAAAATTTAATATATTTTAATAACGAAATAACGAAATTGTAATTTCGAAAAGTATGATATACACATTTTGAGATAAAACATTTATAACTCTGGAAGAAGACAAAATATGCATCGATATGCAATTCATATACATATTAAATAAATTTGATTATACATATATTTAAATTCAGCACAATTGTGTTACAATTAGGCTTGCAATATCGTAATATTTCTTCGTGATATTTAAATATATAAAACAAAAAAAAAAAACAAAAAAAAAAAACAAAAAAAAAAATTCAATTAGAAGATAATAATTATTTTCACTTATAATACATTTTAATTCCTAAAATTATGTTTATTCATTATTTCAGGAGGAAGAAGCGTACGTTTGTATTTTCTCACACAGATCAGCGGATACGATACTATTTCATCATAAAGGTGGTATTGATATTGGTGATGTAGATGCCAAAGCCTTAAAACTTGAAGTTCCTGTTGATTCGGAAGTTCCAAGCACTACAATTATTACGGATAGGTTACTATTGCACATAGCCAATGAGAAAAAACAGTAAGTCTTAATTAGTAAAAAAAAAAAAAAAAATTAATTTTTGCTAATTCAATAATATTTTGAAAAAAAAAAGGATAATTCGTTTATTTTAAATTTCAGTAAAAGCAATCGCCTTTACCGTAATAATACTCAAGTTGGGTGTTTTTTCGGTAATAGTAAAACGTGACTTTGTTTTAAAATTGTAATCGATTTAGACGTTTGACAACTCGATAAATCTGTCTTAAGTCAAGATCGCGATTTATTAATGTCATTAATATTTCAAAGATATTGTGTCAGCGAGCACTTTCTGTTGATTATTTAATGACTTTATTCCAACAGTACAAGCGATATGTAAAACATAATGAATCCAACATGTAATTCAATATTGCTTATTGCAGAATGTTAGCTAACTTCATCCAGGCACTGTACAAATTGTACGTCGATTTATATTTCACCTACTTGGAAATCAATCCATTGGTTGTCACTGAGAAAACCATTTATATTTTGGATCTTGCTGCGAAATTGGACACAACGGCAGATTTTATTTGTCGACCAGATTGGGGTGAAATCGATTATCCGCCTCCCTTTGGCAGAGATGCCTACCCGGAGGAAGCCTACATCGCAGATTTAGATTCTAAATCTGGTGCCAGTTTAAAATTGACGATTCTTAATCCTAATGGTAGAATATGGACAATGGTTGCTGGTGGAGGTTAGTAAATATTTAATCAACGTTTCGTAGCTATTGATTGTCATTGAAATATGATGAATTACTTAAGCAATTGTATTACTTTAAGCAATTCTGTAGAATACCATCATAAATAGGTCGACCTTATAAATTCTTTCGAATAATAAAAATTTATTACGATTAATACTGTCATAATTCTGAAAAAATAAAGTTTTACCATTATGTTTGTATCAGCTAACATTTCATTCTATCGTAAAGAGATTTGGTAGCGAAACGTAACCAAAAAATAATATTGATAATAAATTTCCGTTACACTTTATCGTTAAATAATTATATATTCGAGTTGGTCTTACGCTAATGTTAAAAGAACCGCATATAAAAAAACTATGCGTTTATTCATAATTATTTGCTAAATATTAATTTATATTACAAATTAAAATTACCATACACTGTTCATGATTTTTATAGGAGCTTCAGTCATTTATTCCGATACAATTTGTGATTTGGGTGGCGCATCGGAATTAGCTAATTATGGAGAATACTCGGGAGCGCCCAGTGAACAACAAACTTATGAATATGCCAAAACTATATTAAGTCTAATGACGAAGGAAAAGCATCCCGAAGGAAAGGTTCTTATTATTGGCGGAGGAATTGCGAATTTTACTAATGTAGCAGCTACGTTTAAAGGAATTGTTAAAGCTCTTCAACAATATCAATCGAAATTAGTCGAACATGATATTAAAATATTTGTAAGAAGAGCTGGACCAAATTATCAAGAGGGCTTAAGGTTAATTAATAACTTCATAAATATTAATTAGCTATTAAAAGAAGACATTTTCTTTTCTTAATATTTAACATACTTAAAAGATTATTATATGGGTAATAATACTAGAGAAAGTGGTATTTAATGAACAAAAAATTTCACATTTCATAATGAATTTTATAAGTCATTTAACATTTAATTTTCAACATTATTACTCCTTATTATCGTTAAGAATTTTCAATAATTCAGTTATAGAAACATGTAATTTTTTGCCTTTATTGCTCTCTAATTTTTAGTTTCATTATTCAAGCTTGAATTCATTGAGTTTCAAATAAATTTTTCCATGGCATATCGAATGTTTCATATTGAAAAAAAAAAATTATCCTTCACTTTATTACTTTCTATTGAATGTGCAAGCTTTTAAACACGCAGCATTAACATATTATTGCCACATAATTCACACAAACAATCTGACGCTTGTACTTGTAACTTTGATAAATGGATGATCGTATTTTACTCGCAGGATAATTCGTGAAGTTGGTAAACGCCTTCAGATTCCTGTTCACGTCTTCGGCCCGGAAACTCACATGACTGCAATTTGCGCGATGGCTATGGGCAAAAAGCCTATTCCCGATCCAGAGGCTCAAGAGTTTTCAACGGCAAACTTTTTACTACCTTCGGGCCAGGACGTCGGCCCATCTGTGCCGCCGTCTGGCTCGACAACACCATCTTCTCCAACGAAGCAGCCACGCGTACAAAAGAGCGATTCCACGGATTCGCTATTTAAGCCACTATTCAGCAGCAAGACAAAGTCGATCATTTGGGGAATGCAAGCGCGCGCTGTTCAGAGTATGTTGGACTTCGATTTTGTGTGTCGAAGGAACGAGCCATCTGTCGTCGCAGTCGTTTATCCCTTCACCGGTGATCACAAACAAAAATTCTACTGGGGTCACAAGGAGGTATATCCTCTAATACTAAACTATTGCTTTCAATTCCTTCCCATCAAATTCAAACTATTCCTAAAATAAAAGAGCAAATAAATCAGAGCATTTAAAATCATATTATTTCATGTGTATTAAATTCCAGTAATACATCTCGCGACAATAATGACCGACAATAATGAAAAAAGAAAGAATAAATAAAAGTAACCGTTAAAAAAGTACTACCACTTAAAATAGAAACAACCATAAACAAAGAAATATTTATCATTTTCAATATTTACCACATAGGTACTGATACCTACGTACAAGTATATAAAGGATGCAATGACGAAACATCCGGACGCGGATGTGATGATCACTTTTGCCTCATTGCGGTCAGCATACGATAGTGCCATCGAAACCTTAGAATTTCCCCAAATTAAGACAATCGCCATCATAGCAGAAGGCATTCCTGAAAACATGACGAGGAAATTAATATTGAGAGCACATGAAAAGAATGTGACGATCATTGGGCCAGCGACAGTTGGTGGCGTTAAACCCGGATGCTTCAAGATCGGCAACACAGGAGGCATGATGGACAACATACTGCATAGTAAATTATACAGGCCAGGTAGTGTGGCATACGTCTCACGATCCGGCGGCATGTCCAATGAGCTCAACAACATTATCTCAAAAGGTTGGAATCGGCCATTTATCATTACCTTTAAGATGCCTTTAAGATGTCTTGCCATACATAATGTTTAATGGACATTTAATCGATTATTTATTGGCGATTAATAAGCGACGATAAAGCAACCAAAATGATAAATGTTTGCTAACATTAATATAATAAATATAGTAGTTCGAATAAGGCTAGTTGTTAAAGTGTTGTCATAATGTTGTCGTAAACTGTAACTTGTAATTATATTGTCTTGTGAATGCAATGTACGCCAAACGTTACATTTGTATGATATTAAGATGAAGTAGAGATTATTGCCTAATCAGTCAAGTATTTGCAGCGTCGAATGGAGTGTTCGAGGGTGTGGCCATAGGCGGTGACCGATATCCGGGCACGACATTCCTAGATCACATAATGCGCTATCAGAACGATCCCGATGCGAAGATTATAATCCTGTTGGGCGAAGTCGGCGGAGTGGAGGAGTACGACGTCTGCGAGGCTCTGACATCGGGTCGGATCACTAAGCCCCTGGTTGCTTGGTGCATCGGCACCTGCGCGAGTATGTTCAACTCGGAAGTGCAATTTGGCCATGCTGGCTCGATCGCCAATACGGACCTTGAGACCGCGGTATCGAAGAACAAGGCGCTCAAGGCCGCTGGAGCCTACGTACCCAACAGCTTCGACAACCTCGGAGATCTTATACATTCGGTGTACGATCAGCTCGTCAAAGACGGTATAATCGTATCGGAGCTCGAGCTACCACCTCCCACAGTCCCTATGGATTACAGTTGGGCGAGGGTACGTTGACCATTTATTTTTCCGACTCCCCCGACATTTGCCAATTAAATAATGATCGTGCATAAGGTTATCGATACAACCTATGCTCGTGAAAGTTGAAAAACGTTGTTTATCACGGTTTCTTCTGGCTAAGCGATAGGATACGCGTTCATCTATTATAGGGTTTTTCTAACGTAGATTATTGGCAACGCGCATTTCAGGAACTGGGACTGATTCGCAAGCCAGCGTCGTTTATGACGTCGATTTGTGACGAGCGGGGCCAGGAGCTGCTGTATGCCGGTATGCCGGTAACCGAGGTTCTCAAGCAGAACGTAGGTATTGGCGGCGTTGTCTCCTTACTTTGGTTCCAACGATGCCTGCCCGCGCTCTATTGCAAGTTCTTGGAGATGTCGTTGATGCTGACGGCCGACCACGGGCCAGCGGTTTCCGGAGCACACAATACAATTGTTTGCGCCAGAGCTGGCAAGGACCTCGTCAGTTCTCTCGTATCTGGATTGTTGACAATCGTAAGTTGCTTTGTTTTTATAATATAAGAAGTGAACGATTGTTGGCTTATCCCGTTCATTCGATCACATCAACTCTTGCCGATTTTATTATCGAGAGAGTCGTTGGCCTTAAGCGGCTTCGTTAATTGCTTGCAAATAAAGTTTCAAAATATTATTATTTACAATCGACCTAATGAAGCAATTACAACGAATTAGGTATAATTCTTTTAACTTTAATCGCTAGTTGTACGCTAAGAGTTAAATGAAATATCGACTTTTCAATTAAATTAATCGTTAAAACCAATCGAATTCTGTCTTATTATAAATTGCTACAATATATTATTTTATATGACTAACAAGTTCGTTTTAAACGTATGAGAAGCAAAAGTTTATCAATTTTTCAAAATAAATATGCTAAAAAGTGTAAAAGATAATGCCCAAGTATCTCGGCATTCATATTAAAATTTAATTTTAAAGAGAGAGAGAGAGAGAGAGAGAGAGAGAGAGACACACACACAAATCGATTATATGGAATATTTAAATACGAATTTGAACTCTGTAATTAATATCAATGTATTTAAATCCAAAAGTGCCATTAATGAATTAATTATCACGCCAGGGTGATCGTTTTGGTGGAGCTTTGGACGGCGCAGCACGAATGTTCTCGGAAGCATACGACACGGGTCTCCATCCTCAAGAATTCGTCAATAATACTCGTAAAAAGGGTAAACTGATTATGGGCATTGGTCACCGAGTAAAATCAATTAACAATCCCGACATGAGAGTTAAACTAATAAAGGAATATGTTATGAAGAATTTCCCTACAAAGCCACTGGTCGAGTACGCGCTTCAAGTTGAAAAAATAACTACGACTAAGAAACCTAATCTTATACTTAACGTCGATGGAATTATCGCTTGTGCCTTTGTCGATATGCTCAGAAATAGCGGAAGCTTCACGAGGGAAGAAGCACAAGAATACATTGAAATTGGAGCGATAAACAGCCTCTTTGTTCTTGGACGAAGTATAGGCTTTATTGGTAAGTTGAACGATTTTCCTCGCCATTATTACTTATGTTGGCAAAGCATTAACGATAAGCCGTAAATTTACATTTATAATGAAAATTATATAAATTTCAAGGTCATTATATGGATCAAAGAAGGTTAAAACAAGGCCTCTACCGCCATCCTTGGGATGATATCTCTTATGTTCTACCAGAACAGTACAATTGAGCAATCGTGCTGCTTCATTGCTATCGATGTCCATCGTAATCGTGTATCAATTAGAAATGAATCTCTACGTCATAATAATATTAAATAATGAAAAATAGACAAGATGCTTAGACAAGAGCTCGATAAAACAATTAAACTATGAATATCTATACAAAGCGAGTTGGAATACTTAGGTAGAGATGTTCTAATTAATGGATTTGGTCGACGCACTTGTTATCCGCGTTGTTCCGATAAAAAGCACTAGCACATTTTGCACTGTCGAAAGTCCATAAATTGCCTTAACACAAAATGAAAGAGATAAATTTATGTTTTGAGACGATTTAGTCGCTGTGCGACACTCTTACATTTAAGAGGCGAGAATGACAAAACTGAAAATGAAGGGGGAAAAAAACGATAGAATGAACGAAAGAAAATAATAAAACATGGGTTGACTCGATCAATCGACATTCCAGTTTCTGCATTTGTTTGACAATACACAAAGGTGCGATATTGTATTATTTGAATTTTTATACATATAGACGTCGACTCACCTGTAAGAGAGAAAAGGAGAGAGAGAAAAATTAAAGCAGCACAACTGCGAATTTTTTCGCATTGCATTAAACACATACCTAAATGTACCCTATGGGAGACGTAAAATGGAATGATTCTTTTTTTTATTTTTTTTTTTTTTTTTTATTTTTCTTTTTCTTTTTTTTTTTTAAAGCTTCGCTTAAGTTTGTATGTTTATTGAAACAAGTAAGTGAAAAAAAAATTTTGCACAAGAAAAGAAAATCTTTTTGCTAAAAACTAAGAATTTAGTATACATATTATATATACATGTATAATATTTATGTATGTACGTATTATTATTTAAGAATCTATTATCTTTTAAATATTTGCACTCAAAAATATCTTGTTAATTGTAAGTAAATCAAAATAATGAGTTGGTTACTAATTATAATCATGTTATCTGTAAAAACATTATTTTCTGTAGATACGTGAATAATTTGAGATGAAATAAAAAAAAATAAATAAATAAATAACTGAATTTTAAACAATGTTTTGCCTTTATTTATTTATTTCTTAAATTATATTTACCGCGTAATAATATCAGTTAATTATTCTCATTGATTAAATGTATTGCTATTAATCAACGATTTCTTCAATAAATGATTCAGAGAGCTCTTCTACATCGGTTTGCTTTTCTAGCTTCGGACTAATGTACTTTTTATACCACTGAAATTCCGCTGCGGCATAATTTCTTTGTCTAAAAGGAAACATTGGTTTCACCCAAATTATATCTGTAATCACATATAATTTTACGAATGTATTAACTATTTGTTATGCGGTTCCTTACATATTAAATTCGAAGCTCGCTGGCTTTCGCACTGGATTCCATTGGGAAACGGGTTTCTTATTAGCGATCATTACACCACGAACACAATAGGAAAGCGCTAATTTATGTATGTCATTATCCTAAGATGGTAAAATTTTATTATTAAATGTCGTTTATGAATATGAATTATAAAGACTATAGATATACATAAAAAGAATGAGTGTCCAAGGATAATTAAAATTTCATATAACCTTCCATTCTGAACTCAATACATCAGCTAAGCTTATAACATCCACAGCCATGGCCACAGAATCAAGATTAGATCCTATTGTATTCATGTAATTTTCATGTACGAATCGGATAAATGTATTAGCCTGGGTGTGAAAACACGATGCCAAATCATCTGGATTGTGAACGAATTGCCAAGAGCATCCATTTACATTTTCTGTTAGTTGTTAAAATAATCAAATCAATCATTTAATATAATTATCTTATTACAAATATTTTGTAAATTTTAATAGTACTATAAAATTATTACTTTTTGGATTAATAACTCGACCGATCGCATGAAGAAGGCCGAGTGTTTCTTCTCTCACATTGCATTCGTTCTCAGACTTATGTTCAACTTAAATAACAAAAATTGTTTATATTATTATTATTATCATCATTATTAATGAACAAAATTAATTTAAATTACCTTTTAAAGAATAAAAAATTAAGTTTAACAAAGCGCTTCGAACATCCCCAATACTATTTGATAATACTTCGTCTATTCTATTTTGAGTTATATTTAACATATAACCAACCTTTGTATTTAAAATAGTTGATACTCGTTTCATTATATTTTTTAAAGCTGTTTGGGTGACTGCATTTATACTATAATTTGAGGGGCGTTTTTTTTTTTCCTTTTTTTTTTTTTTTTTTTTTTTTTTTTTATATAAAAGATTAGATACCACATATTTTGGCTACTTACTTTATAAAATCAATTGCAAAAGTATCACGATTAGTTTGAGAGAATAAAGTAGTTAATAATTTGGAATTGCTTGTTTCTGTATTGATAAAAACTAATGGTTCTCGTCCATACTGACAATATTTTCTATAAAATATTTTTATATAATTTTTAAATTTATAAGGCTAATTAATTATACATTCAATACTTACTTGAGTAACTTTGTAAAATCATCTTTTTCCTCTATGTAAGTGTTTGGTAACTCTTTAACCAATAATAAACGTCTAGAATAACTTGATAATACAGAACTATAGCGCGTAGTTCTTATGAGAAAGTCTTCGAATATCTCTCCTTGTCGTACAATTTCATCCGCTTATAAGAAAATTATAAATATTAAATAATTAATAAACAATTATGGTTAAACAATTAATAACAGAAATAATATTCTTTGTTTAGAGGATATCTAATGTTAATTTACTGTTTTCATTTGTAACTTGATCGATTGGTGTTATCCATTCGATAACGTCAAAATTATGTTCTTTAGCGATAACCTTAAGGGCTTCGGTTTTCCCACAACCGGATGGGCCAGAAATGATTAAAATGCTTGGCTTTCCCTTTTGCACTTTGTTGTCGAACCATCTTGAGATTTCTTGCTGCTTCTGTCTACTAACTGCTAATTCTGATGACTTTTGGGGTGCGCACGTAGAAAGTAGAGCGGATAAATTATTTTTTTTTTTTTGTAAAACATTTGCATTGTGATATGTAAAATCAGTTTCTTTGTTTTTATCCTCGATGAAATCAGATATACATTTTTTTTTTGAAAAATCCTCATCAAATGCATCAAAATCAAAGGATGATCGTAACCAACTACTTGCATTTCTCTGTAAATAATATAACCTTGATTATTGTTAGTTATTTGTTTTCTTTTAAGAAAACCTTTTAAAAATACTATGAAACTATTGATAAAATAGTAGATAAAATAGTAATTCACATTAAAAATAACTAATTAAATGTTAATATAATTTATCAAAATATAAAATTTGTATAAATTGCTTAAGCTGTTAGATATTTAAGATAATTATTGCATTAACCTTTGATCGAGACATTTTATTTATTAATTACGTCAAAACGGATTTTTTATATAAATGAACATTTTTACAAAAAACAAATATTGAAATTAAAAACATAAAATCACATTAATTGATTAAATATAAGATTGAGTAAATAACATCCGAGATTATGAAAATCAGAATTTTTCGATTCTGCGCAGTAATGGTTTTTCAATCAGCCGGTTTTACATTAACGTAACAAATTAAAAAAAAAAAAATTATTAAATTCGAACTTAATACTTTACGCTCTTTAGCATGTAAAATAATTTTTAAAACTTTATCAAAAAAAAAAATAAAATAAATAATAAATAAATAAATGGATTTCTAGGCATTGATAAAAAATATCAAAGACCTTGAACTATGACAGTTGTATAAGAATAAATTTTCTTTCTTCAAAAAAACGAAATGAAAAAATGAATGAGCATTAATAAAGTACTATCATATATTTTTGTAGAGGTTTTATAAAATATAATAAATAATTTAATACTGATATGATCTTGTTATAAATAATAAAGTTGCGAGAAGGATAAAATTACTTTCAAAATACTATTAATCAAAATATACAAACCTACATTTAACGATTTTTAATTTTACAAAATTGAATTTTGTCAGTATAAAATTTCTACATTTTATTAATCTTCATTTTTATGTTTTAAAACAATTATACGTTGTGTGTCACGTATGCATTCTTCTTATATTTGTAATAAATAATATAATAAAATGTAAAAAATGTTGTAGATCGTTAAGGAAATTAAAATAATAAAAGAAACTCAAAATCATTCTAAAAATTTAGCAGTATTAACAAGCATTTATTAATTGCAATTTTAAAATAAATTAAAGATAATCATGGATTAACTAGTGCTTGAAGAAGAACAGACGTCATTAGAACATTAATGATTAGAACAATATTAAAATTAAAAATCTTATATTTTAATATTATTTATTACATATGATGCTGGTAGGTGTAAAAATTGAGTCATTTATTAAACAGTTTTTATTTCAATTATAATTTCAATTGTACGAATTTCCATTATCGGTCAATATTTTTCTTTCTTAATATAACACAACTTTTTACATATGTAAAAAAGTCATTAAATAGCAAATGACATTTGTACATCTATTTATACTAATCGATAAATGAATTGACTTAATTACATAAATTATTAATTCAATATTAATTATCTAAAAACTTTATCATCCCTAAAATGTGTTCTATTATTTGACACTATAAAATCTGTAACTCTTTAACACAAAAATTTATGTCAATTAGAAACACATCTTTACTTTTACACGCATTGATGAATTACTTAGAAAAATTGATTCAATAATTTTTAATTAAATTAAGAAGCAACTTTTAGTAATATAAGAAAATATTTGTATTTAATTATAATATTAACTTGTAACTAAGTTAATAAAATATTAAATTATCTAACAATATCTGCATATTATCACAACACATTTAGCTAATAAGACCTTTCAGCCACTGGTATATATACCAAACTTTTTAAAAGTCTAGTATGTACACCGAATATTTATGTATATAGATATATTTATCCATAAGTATAAACATATTTATTTATAAGAATATTTGTATTAAAAAAAAAATTGCGAAGGATAATATCTTTTCTCAGGCACTCGCGTGATTGCAACGATGCAGTCTCTTATTGTATAGTAACATATATAATACAATCTAGAGTTCGTTTGAAATTTTACAATTCAACTCCATACATCACTGGAGTAACGTTTTTGTGAATCCATCTTCTTTATGTAATCAGCAGCTTGTAATTCGCTCATGTTTCCTTTTTCCATTACCACCTTCAATAGAATGTTATGTACATCTCGTGCCATATTCCGTGCATCGCTAAAAATATACAAACACACACACACCCATATATATAAATATACAAAATAATAAAATTCATTCATTAATTAATAAAAATTTTATAATAAAAAACTTTTATTGAAAACATATTAATGTTTCAGGTTCCTTTCCATTTATTAAATTACTTGCAGTTTTATTGATTTGTACTCTTATTAATGAATTAACTAACGTTACTTAATATCTAATAATAATAATAATAAACAAAAAACAAAACAAAAAAAACAAAAAAAAACTTACCCGCATACGTAAATATGTCCATTATTTTTCCCAATTACTCTCCATAATTCTTCCTTATTCTTTTCGAGCAAGTGTGTGACGTAAACTTTATTCTCCTGCTCTCTACTAAATGCTGTGTGCAAAGTTAAGCTTCCATTATCAACATATTGTTGCAATTCTTCTCTGTAGAGAAAATCTTCTTCGCGTTTTCGGCAACCGAAATAAAGAATCGTGTCGCCCACATCTTTACCTAATAAATTCAAATTTAGATATTATGCAATTTTGCTTGACTCTTTACATGTCAATACATTAGCAATTTTTACAATTTTATGTCTCTTTTAATTATAAACAAAATTTTAATTCGCGTAACAGTCGTGTACGAATAAATATTAATTTATGAATATTATTAATAGTATTAACTTAAAGTAAATTATAAATACCTTCTTTCTTAGCCACGTCACGTTCTTGGATAAATGCTCTAAATGGCGCGAGTCCAGTTCCTGGCCCGACCATTATAATTGGCGTTGTAGTGCGCGATGGTAAACGGAATTGAGATTTTCTGACGAAAATTGGAACTAGACAAGGTGGATCGGAAGGATGTTTCTCCTTTAACCAAGTAGTTGTAACACCTCTATTAATTCTACCAGTTGGAGTTGGATATTCCACAACAACAGCAGTTATGTGAATTTCAGACGGATGCAGCTAAATAAAATCATCATTCATGCATTACATTGAAAACCAAAGTGAAAAAACTTTTTGCTTAAATTTTATTTTAAAAGTATCAATCTCAACGTTTTATCTCTAAGTAAATACAATTTTCATTGGTTTTTTTTTTTTTTTTTTTTTTTTCCCCCTTTAACGTCACGTTAATTTTAAATTCTTTATTATAAATTGTTATTATTGATGGGGGAAAAAATGCAATTAAAAATTGTAGCAATACCTTTGGTGAAGAAGATATGGAGTAGTAACGACACTGTAATCTTGGTAGCAGTTCGCACAAATGATCTAAGGCTGGTTTCAAACTTGGAATATCTTCCAAAATATGTACTATATTCCTATTTTCTTGAATGACCCACTGCTGAAAGAGAGATTTACCTTCCGCGGTTGTGGAAGACATCTGTCTCAATCTTTCCTTATCATTTGGATCGCTTGCATATTCTGCCAATTCCTTCAGTATATGTGTTCTTGGATTACTGGTAATATCTAAATAATGCGTCAAAGCAGTTCGATATGTACAAGGACAAGGGAACGGATGCTTTTTTGTTGATTCCTCTGTAAAATTAAGAGTAAATTTATTTAAAAAAAAAAACTTTTTTAATAATCAAAATACAGGTACGATGTAAATAAATTAATCCTTTTATTTACATTTACGTTTAGTAAGAAATTACAGCACATACCATCAGTATTTGTTAAGGTGAAAATAGTATCCAAATCAATATTACATATTTCACCAATTTTATTTACAAGATTAGAGTTATTAACTGGATAAACTGCTAAATGATCACCAGATTCGTAACGCATTTTTGATCCATCGATATCAAATTCTATATGCATACAAGATCTATTTGAAGAAGAACCGTGTAGTTCTCGATTAATTTTTACAGGTGCTAAGAAGGGATTCTTAGCATCGAAAGGTCTAAAATGAAAAATTTAATCTCAGTATCAATTTTTACTATTTAACAATAATAACAATCTTTTTTTAAAAATTAAGCAATAAAACGAAAATATTGTAAAACATATCAATTTAAAGTAAATGAAATTTTTTGACAAAATTTTTTGCTTGTAAAGACAAAGTTGATGTTTATACATACGCTCTTTGATTTTTAAAAGCATGAAGTCGTGCAATTTCACCACTATAGACTTTTTCTACAGGTATATCAACATGCTCGGTAAGCTTATACTGGCGAATACTAACATCTTCTCCAGCTCCTTCAATATTAAAATATTCACAAACTGCTGGCCAAAATTTATCTTTCCATGTAATAAAATCATCTTCGATACTGGATAAATAAACGATGATGATTAGTGTGCACAGTTGTGTTTTAAAATTTTGAATTGGTAAAATAAAAATTTTACTTAAAGTGACAAAAGCAATTTTTGTAACTTCCATTTAAATTATAAGATATCACGTATTTTTAAATTCAAAATAGAAATTCTTAACTACATAATGTCTTCTAGAAAGAAAATGTTTCATTCGAAACTATCAACACTTTTTAATTATCGAATCTGAAATATTTTACCAACTTGAAAATACATAATATAATAGAAACTATACTTACTTGGCATCGTCATCTCCAAGACCACATTCGTAGACACGATTAGCTCCAAGTTGCTCCAATCTATGATCGACATAAATAGCAATTTCATTGTAATGTTCGTACGTTTTATTTCCAAGCCCAAAGACCTAAAAGCAAATATTTACTCAATAATTGACAAAATGTCAATATACATAAAAAGTTTATTAATAATTTTTATTTCAAAATAATAATGTAACATGTTATTTAACTTTAGATTGTACTCGAAGCTACCATAAAAATGATTGTTATAAGCTATAATAATTATAAATGTGAAAATTAATTTAATAAAAATAAATGTACTAGATTGTTTGTTACCCAATAATTGCAATAAAAATTAATCAATCTACTATTAATTAGAGTTAAATCTAAGTAATATTATGTTTATCTCGATAATAATTACAAATATCTATTAATTAAATACCAATTATAATATTAATATTATCAAATGAAATTTCTTTATATTTATCACATAGATTTTGTAATTTCTGTGCATGCATATTACATAATGCAAATTCGTTCTAAACATAAAATGTAATAAATTTCATTTGGAATTTGAATATGTTGGACTAATAATATATAATATAATAAAAAGAAAGTATAAAGTATATCACCCTCGCCTTTAGTTTCAATAGAACAAAAAGTGATAATTTAGTCGTCTGCCTTTTATAATAATTATATACCGTAAAACGATATATAGCTGAACGAGCAATTGTTATTATCTTCAAAACATCCATCATCAATCACATATATCGATCATCGCTAATATAAACTTTATGAACTGATGTCACGAATGAAAATACTTAAATAAAATCGGGAATCGAATATTCCTCATTGATTGTCTTTTCTTTAAAAGAATTTAATTAACAATTCGCATCAAGTCGAATATCATACACTCAACAATCAACGCGTCCTCAATAATGTGCCATTGTGTCATGCCCATCACTAAATTCTTTAATATCAATTTTTTCTACATAAATACAATGTTTTAACACGAGACAATGCACAACGCAACTTATCTATGGCCGTAGCCATATGACGTAAGATTAACACTGCGAATGAGGTTATATTCTTGCTGAGTTGTAATGGATGAATATTATATATCATTAAAAGAGTATAAAAAAAATTAAAAAAAAATAAAAAAAAAAATAATTCATAATAATAATGATGTAGATCGTAATTTTTCGATAATATTAAGAGGGCTACTTATTATATTTAAGAAAAGAAAAAAAAAATCAGCAATGTACTTTGAAAATAAAAATTTTATAAAGTATATGAAATAATCTCTGCTTTAAAATATTTTAATCTAATCTAATCAAGATTTATTAAATATAGTTTAATTAAAATATTAAATTTACTGATCTATAAAATATTAAAAATTCTTAATGGAGTACAAATTTAATATTGATCATAAATTTACATAACTTTTCCTTGTAAAATTATAATTACTTGATTATATTTGCAGCTCTCACTATTAATAAGATTCTTTATAAAGCTAGAAATTATGGAAATAATGCTGATCGGTATATGTTATATTTGTAATTTATATTTTTTAAATGTGCAAATTAAATTATCATAAAATATCACGTTTTTCAGTACAATAAATAAAGATGCTTAAGATAAACATATTACCAATGAACAATTTTGCTTACCACTTTCATGTTTAAAAAATTATATTTTAATTTTATCACATTTAAATATACAATTTTATCATTTTAGTATGTATATAAAATTGAAAGAAGAAAAATATTTTATTAAAGACTAAATTCGTTTGTATATTTAATACTATTTAAATTCGCTATAATTGTCTCTAATAATTATATAAAGATGATAAGTTTTCTTATTAATAAAATCATAAATGATATACACTAAGGATGCATTAGAATATATTGAAATAACATTAAATGATTTTTATTGAAAATATTACAATTAAAAAATACAAATAGAAATATAGTGTATTTTATCTGTAACTATAACTGATAACATAAGAAAAAGGTCGTGCTTTTGATAAAACAGAGATTCACTTTATTATTAACAATATCAACATATTCAAAAATAAACTTTTAGTATTTTTAATAATATTTTTATAAAATATAAGTTTATTAAACTATCCATTAAATACTATTTTCTTACGTGGCGTATCACTTAGTTTACTATAAAAGGTCTACACATCAAATTTTATATTTGATATATAATGTGTGTACTGTAATGTTATCTTTATTTTATTTTAAACACTATCGCTATTATTGCGACTACTACTACTACTACTACTACTACTACTACTACTACTACTACTACTACTACTACTACTACTACTACTACTACTACTACTACTACTACTACTACTACTACTACTACTACTACTACTACTACTACTACTACTACTACTACTACTACTACTACTACTACTACTACTACTACTACTACTACTACTACTACTACTACTACTACTACTACTACTACTACTACTACTACTACTACTACTACTACTACTATTGCAAATAACTACTACAACTGCGGCTTACATCAAACTGATACTTTTTAGTTTGCGGGCAAATTGTTTGTAAAATACTTTATATAGAAAATTAATAATGCCAAGGTGATCGAAAAAATTCTAAAATTTAATTACTTCAATATGTTCCTAGAATATAACATTAAAAATAGAATATGCTTATTTTAAGAAATATTAACTCACTGCGTAATTTAAGCCATTGAGATCAGCATCCCCATTTTTTAACCACTCAACAAATTCCATGGCATTATCAGTAGGATCACCTTCTCCGTATGTAGCCAAACAAAAGATCGCTAAACTCTTATTTATTGTTTTTAAATTGATTAACTCTTCCTGAAATACAATACCATATTTTGTATTCTTTCAGTATGTTGATAATATTCGTAAGATTTTTTTCTTTTTAAACTAACCATGTCGCATTCTTCTGGATCGGCTACCATCCCTTTTAACTTGTAACGAATACCTTCTTTAGCCAATCGTCCGGCAAATTCTTCAGCGGTTCCAGTTTGACTGCCATAAAAGACAACGAGACTTCGACCAGACGTTTGAAGTTTTTTAATAAATGAATTTTCCGAGGGGGTTGATGCTGTGTACGATGATGGTCTGAATTAATAAAATTAAATCTTGTTTAATGAGTATTCGGATATTTGTTTGCGCATAAGCTACACCGCTTTTATCAAAAATACTAATACATCACTGTAAGTTTTGCATTGCATACTTGTCAAATAATGTATTTTCGTAACAAAAAAAAAAAAAAAAAAGAAAAAAAAATTCCATCGCTTAACAAAACGTACATCTTTACTATATTCACAAATTAAATTAACAGAATCAATGCTTCGCAAATTGTTTGCTTTGTCAATTAAATATCAAGAAAAATTAAAATGCAAAATTATAAAAGAAATATTTATGTTCGTCAATAATCCAAATAAATAAAATAACAAATATTATTAAATTAAAATTAATATTAAGAAATTATCTAATTTTGTTATATTTTACACAATAACATATCTAAAGATTTCTAAACAGCCGAAATGAACTACTAACATAATATAAACAATATTAAATGTTACTTATTTTTTAAATAAATTCATAATTATTTGGTACTTATAAGATAATTAAATTTTTTTTTTAATATTTTAATATCAATAAATTATCTTAAATTTATTTATTCCTTCCATTTATTGTTCAAATTTCTAACTTTTACGACTACCTACGACATAAATTAATATTTGCTAATAAATCATTATTTTTCTTTCTATTACTATTTTAATCATTAGATGATAAATAGAGTTATATAATGATATATATATATATATATATATATATGATGAATTATTTATATGAGATATGTAAGCTAAACTTGATTGATTGAAGTCAATTTCCATAAATTTATTAGACTGGCAATTCATTTGAAAAAAAAAGTAATTAAGAATAAATTTATTATTTTAAATAAATTAAACTTGCACATTGATCAAAACAGCCTATTATTTGATTTTCTATGAATTATTTGAAATTTATATGTCGAAATATTTCCTAAAAATTAATAGCATAATCAAATTCAAAGCCATACAACAAATTTGTCAAAGCAACATCAATAATTCCAATTAATTTAGGCAAATTTAAGCTTATGATTAATTTCATTGATTCACAAAATACGTCTTATAATATATTTATTTTACAAAAATAAGCAAAAATTGAATAATACTTATGTATTCAAAATACTTTCAAATTATGTTTGTTATTTGAAACTATTTATTTGTAAGTTATTATATATTACTTTATCATCGAATGAAAAATACATCAAATTTTTAGATTGAATAGAAAATTGTTAGAAAAATTTGTATTCCTATTTAACTAAAAAATATATTCTTAAGGACTATAGAGTTATATAATGAAAACATTTACTGTATAGTATAAGATGTATTGGCAAACGTATATTCTTCCTGCCGGTTCCACCTCATAATATACCAAATTACTGTAACTATTAGAGCTACTAATATTGCAATATCTAAGGTGCTAAACATTGATTCGTTCATGATCTTTGAATCGGTGATTCCAGGCATTTCAGGAGTGTCTGACATCCTCACGGCTTCCGGATGCGATAAATCTTCGCTCTAAAGTAATTGTAGAAAAAAAATTTTTTTAATTATAAAATAAGTTTTGATTATTCATTAATTATTTATATAAACTGTATTGAGTTAATAAATAAAAAAGAAGCTGTCATACTACTTTCTAATTAAAATAATAGACATTTATAATGCCAAGTAAAAAGATCATTCAGATTATGCTTTCACATTGTATTCTTAATTTTGAATCAATAAAATATCTTCGTGTCGATAAAACGCTGAGATCGATAATAAATTATATAATATAATATATAAAATAACCATAGAATTACATAACATATTTGATTATAATACAAACTAGATCATATTTTTAGACTAATTGAATTTAGATATAAAAAATTGATGTTAACATTCGAACTATTAAAACAAATATTTTTATATAAAAAAAATAATCAATTATTTGTTTAAATTATTATTAAATTATTTTTTATATTTTTATTTTTGAAGTAATATATTAATTATTTAATTAATAATTAGAATAAAAATTAATAAATCATTTCTATCATCATAGTTATATCAATTTTAATGAAACGTAAATAAATGTATTAGAACACTTTCGTTAAAAAGTAAGTACATTTAATATAAAAAATTCTATAAGTATTGATTTTTTTATATTCTACGGTATTTAGTATTCAACCAAATAATTTTACATTTATATTTATTAACAATAATTCTCCTTTAAAAATGTATCCAACTTAAACATTGCTTTGTATTTGAAAATGATACTATTTACTTTTGAACAAATAATCGCAAATTTTTACAAATCTGTTTTAAAATACATTAAAAAATAAATTATCTATTTGTGTGTATTACTATTTCATGTTTAAATACATGCTTTCTACATACCACGACAAAGTTTAAAATCAATAATATTACTAAAATGTATTCCATCCAGTATCAGGATTATACGCTCTTACGGTCGATGATAACATAAAGTTTGTTATCACGATTGTTAAACATTAAAATCAATTTTATTTCTAATTTTTATTCAATATGAACAATTTTTAAAAAATTGATGTAATCACTTATAATTAATAAATTATTATTATAAATCTTAATAATTTCAAATATTACTTGTGATAAACTATTTAACAACAAATTTGTTTAATCAAATATTAAACAAATTTTCTATTGTATTTTCGTGGGAAAGCAATCAAGTTTTGTGAAAGACTGATGAATCCGTCCTTTTAAAATTTAAAAACTATGGTTTTCTATTCTCCGACTCGACCATTTTTTCCTCTTATTCGTGTCTCTTTTTTTATTCGTATACCTTTTAGCGAATCAATAACTCAATTTTTATCACACTTTATATCTTTACGATGAGTTGATACATTCATCGAATACTATATAATAAAATATTATCGCATATAAAATATTTTCCATTTTATACATATAACCAGAATATTTACGTTTTGTTTTGCGTTCGATTAGTGCTTTTTAAATTAAAAAAAAAAAAAAAAATCGAGTACTAATTTCTTATTTCATTTAGCCTTACATTAAATTGCTTCTTGTTTCCTAAATCAAATAAAAACTTTCCTATTTTTTAAGTCGCGCTACATTTTTCGGATTCAAATTAATATTTATTTTATGATATCATTTCTAAACTTGAACTTTTTCGTTAATGGTTATTTTTACACAGGCATTTCTATATCAAAATTAAATTCGCTCGATGCATGTCTTTTTCCAACTTTTTTTACATTGACTTTATCTATAATTTTTAATTTTCCTTTATGTTTGTCCACGATGTATATATATATATATATATATATATATATATATATATATATATATATATATATACACATTATTTAACAACTTAGTAATTTAGTGTTTCACCACATCATAATATCGATTCTCTATATTTAAAAATGTAATATTTCCTTATCATAGTTCATTTTAAATTATCTAAAAGAAACGGGAGTAATATCTGGTAAAAAAAATAAAAGTTTACAATAATTAAATAGTAATACATGTAATTTAAATGAATTACCTTTATCAATTTAAGTATGATATATACAAAATAAATATAATCGATATTGTATTAAAAATATCGTTATTCTTATTATTATTATAAGGTGTAAAAAGTTCATAAAAATCGTGATAACTTGGAATTGTTATATATGCACAGACGCACACGCGCACACATGTATTTTTAAATATTAAATTCTGACATCAAAGCGAAGATACTTTTTACTCAAAATGGCATGATGTATAAATTTATGTTTATACTCGTGCATGTGACTATATTTCTCTAACACCATAAAAATATAAATAAAATATAAAGCTCACAATGAAAGCACTTAAAGTCGAATGAAAAGAAACAGTCTCGAGCACGAAAGGAAAATGACGTCGTTACACTATGGAAAATTCGTTGACATAAGAATGCGCGTGTGAATATGTCGATTATAAATGCATGGCGTTCGTCGCACCATGGAGATGAAATTTAAGTACTATACTGAGGTAGTCATTCGAAATTCCAGACAAGCCACCACACATTTTAAGAAAATAAAAGAAAGGAGAAAGGAGAAAACCGGTGTTGATGAAAACCGGTATTTCGCCATTATCAAACAAAAGAGATTAAATTATCCATAAATGTTAATATAGAATGGATGAAAAATAATGATGACTTTACTATTAAATACATCTACGTAACATTGTTAAATAAGATGTGATTATTTTATATTAATAAATACATAATACAGTAATTGTATATTTACACTATTTTATGTTTGCACCGATAAAATTCTAAAGCTTTTATTTTATACTATAATTCTTCAACGATTTAGATAAGCTAAGCTACATGGAATTGTCAAGTACGTGAAATTTTTAGTTACAATACGTTATGTAGCCATTAAATATTTAAGTCAATGAAAGATCTCTATTATCTTACAATCTTTAATAATATGTATAATATGTTTAAACAAATGTGAAAAATGAAAATATTAGGATACACACACACACGCACGCGCACGCACACACACGCACACACACACCACATATATATATATATATATATATATATATATATAGAGAGAGAGAGAGAGAGAGAGAGAGAGAGAGAGGATCAGAAGTCACATCAAAAATTAAAAACTTTTAATACCACTGTTGCTCAAATAATCTTTATTGATATTTAATATAATTATCAATGAGTTCAATTTCTAATGTAATAATTTATTACTATTTATCCATTCGAGTATTTAAATATTTGATGGACATCTAGACGATAATCATTGAAATAATAGTCTTTTCAAAATTACATCCAATACTCTTTTCTTACAAGTTACAAGATTTATACAACGATAAAAGAGTATTTTTTACAGTTAGAAAGTTATAGAACTTTGAATATTAGATTTTATTTTTATCATTTTATATGTTACTTTTTTTTGCTATTAAAGTAATTCTTGAAATATTGCATAAGTAATCTTCACTGTATCAATAAATCCTTGATAATAATTTTGTTCAATTAATGACAGGCGTAGCTATACGTATTCTCATTTTCTATTTAAATTGGCGTTTCTAAACTGAATGGTAAACAAAAGTAACAAATAAAAATTTCATACGGAAAATACACGATATTAATGATGATTTAAATTAATATTCAGCTATTTGATTATTATTTATGAAAATATTGAGTACAAATATGTGAACTTAAATATATATATATATATATTATAATATATATTATATATATATATGTGTATATATATATTTATATATATATATATATATATATATATATATATATATATATAATGATAAATACAATTTTAAAAACAAATAATAGAAGATTATTTAAGATAATAATATTAAATATTGTAAGAGTTAAATATGCATCTATTTTTTATCGCAAAAGTTTATTTAATTCAAATATTACAGATTTAATCATTTTTCTAACAAATTATTTAAAAATATTTCACAATAATAGGAAATTTTCATTTAATAGAAAAGTTTATAAATAATACTTAAATATAAGTGAAAATTTTTCTGTTTACTAATCTAATTAATTATTCATTTATTATTTATAGTTATAATTATAGTTGTATCTTTTATATTATTAATTAGGCACCCTAAGAAGCGAATACATAAGTAATAATTTATTATTTATATTAGAATATTAGATTATATTAGAATATTCTACTAAATTAGATTAAATATATAAATATAAATTATATAATATCGTAAGAATTTAAAAAATTTCTAATAATTTAGATATTAATCTGAAGGTGATTACAAATTTGAGGATTTGAATGTGTTTAATTTTTTTATGAAGTTTTGTATAAAACTATAATACTTTATAAACTTTCATTATTGTATCTGTTTTTGTATTTGTTTTTGTATTATTGTATTTGTTTCTATAACGTAAGAAATAGTGCATCGATTAGTCATTAATAAAATTTTTTTTTTAAATATTGTTGGTTAAATACGTTTACAAAAATTTCCTGTAAAATATTACTTGTGCAAGAAAGAATTAAAGTTGAAAAAGTACTAATCATATTATTGGACAAGCTCATATTATTAGAATGTTCCTATTAAAAATTAATTTTTATTTGTGTTAAAAAGAAACGTTTTTATGTTTTTATTCATGATATAAGGAATAATTCGTAAAATCTGCATATATCACTTTAAATGTAATCAATATATTGTTATTATGAATTCTAGATATTTCCTAATTAGCTATTACTAAAATATTATTTCAATGTGTTATTTTACTTAATTACAGATGGTAATAATAATTAGAAAAATTTAAAGTACACTAGTTTTGAAGACTTTATTGCGAATATGTAGTTTTGCGACTAATATTATATTTAACATCAATATTTTTATGTTTATTTTGACAATTTAACATAAGGCCAGATAACATAATATAACTATCCAATAATTAACAGTTTATTCACACTGATCATTAATCATTAATCATTAATTATCCATAAAGTTTTGATATTGTTTAATACAACTAATACAGAAAAAAGAAAACCAGCTGAGCATTT